GAAGGATTTTTTGACGAGAGAAAAAATTAATTATAAAATTTTTATCTTTCTTTTTATCATCATAAAATTTCTATTAAAATCATGTCTCACTTTTTCTTAAACGATGTATAATTATTTTCTCTTATTTAAAGTACAAAACATCTAATTTGGGGGCCAATTTAAAAGATTACCAAAGGTTGGCTTAAACCTTTGAACTGTAGTGTAAATGACATCATTACATTCTTACATGGACAAAAACTGGATTGACTTCCGTAAAAGGATGTTCATTAACGATTTCATCATGATGGATTCAATTGTCAATAAACTCTAAATGTTTCATTTTCAGGCATAAATCTAAGATTTTTTAACGTCTTGAGCCGTACCTTGAAAACTGACATTTTAAGTTGTTCTGGAAGTGACTCGGACTAATAATTTTTTCATCAGGCCTTTGCATATAGCAGAATTTCGAATGTTGATTCTTCAAGTCAAGAAGGCCATCGTCATTGGCGTAACAAAATCTTCCTGGCTTACTTTCGCTGTGACTTTGACTTTTTGTTTACACACATTTGTTTAACAATTGTATACTTATGATTGCATGTGTGTGTGTGTGTGTACGTTCGTATGTTTACGTATGTATATATATATATATATATATATATATGTGTGTGTGTGTAGTTGTGCTTGTGTATATTTGCGCTCGTACATATGTGGGTTTATGTGCATGTTTGTATTTTGCGCATATGTTCATGTATACTAATCTATGTGTATGTATAAATGTGTGTATGTACGTGCGTGTGTGTGTATGTGCGTGTGCGTGTGTGTGTGTGCGTGTGTACAGAATTGAAGCAACACAAGATTTAATTCTTGGCTTTCTACTATCATACATTTTTTTTTGTTTTTTTTTCTTTCTTCTTTTGATAATTTTAAACTGTTTTTTCATCCATAATCGAAGAAGACATCCCGAGACGTCTGGAAGCTATTAATCTGACTTAGGAGTTCTCGCAACCGGATATATATATATATATATATATATATATATATATATATATATATATATATTTTTATGTTTTTATTTTTTTATTTTGGAGTCAAGACTAATGCACGCAGTTATTCGATATATATATATATATATATATACACAAACTGGAGAAAAATTATGGATTAACTTAATTGATTTTCTGGCTAAGTCGTTCGGTATTTAAGCAGTCTCTTGATATACGCCGTAGAGAGAGGTATTGAGACTTTATTTAAACAATGCATTAGAAACCTTTTGAGTTTTCCCGCTTTCTGAAGAATAAATATACGCATAAATCCGATACTGAATTCCATGCCAGGCAGATTGAAACACTCACTAGTTGTGCTTATTCCTATAAACTTTGTAAAGTTGACAGGAAGTCTAGTTTTATACTATTAACCTGGGAAAACGATATATACATTTTTATATCCTAAGAACAATTTTAGGGAAATCTGTGTGATGTGATTATAAACTTGCATGAATGATAAGGGTGTGGGGAAATACTTAATTTAAAAACAAAAAAAAATTATTTATATATATTTTTTTTAAAAAAATATATATTTCGGCTAAATAGTCCAACCGATTTCATTTACACTCACGGCCTTTGAAGACTCAGTTTTTTAAGCTAATTTGGCTACAGTAAATGGATATATAGTTTGGTCATCGACGTAGCCAGTGCCATCAGTACATACGCTGATTTTACATCTCGTGTATGATGCGACCCTCTTAAAATTAGCTTCAAAATTAGGTCTTCAAAAGTCACTTGATACGCCAGTATATACGGTAGTTCTTTCTTTGTTTATAAATGTGGAATATTTGATAATAATGGTGACAGAAATATAAACAAAAAGAAAAGTTAGAATTAAAGTCAAAACTTCAATGTCCCTTCTTCTTTAATCACATCATCGTAAACATCATTTTAGTCCGACGAAACGCGTCACGCGAAAACTTTTTCCCACTTTGTTATATATTTTCCTAATTCTGTTCACCTGTTTAATATAATATCTAAGCTAATATCGAGGTTAACCCCCAAAAAGTTTGTATTGAAGTATAGCTAAATCAGGCAAGCATAAAATGTAAAACGACATTTGTTACTGTATGGGCTCCAATATCTTTTCTAACCTCTTACAGCCCAGTCTGGGAAAGGCTGTCTTGAGTCTTTCAACACTTTTTAAACAAAGCTGGTAACGTTTCATCGATACCGAGCAGACAGACCCTAAAATCCTTATGAGGGTTCTTATCGGAAAAGAGGCTACTTGCCTCAAAATCCTATTGGATTTAAAGTTCACCCACAGATATTCCTGACTTAACTAAATATGTCGGTTCCAGAAATTGCCTATTTCCTACTCCCATGCCGTACCTTTAAAAAGTGTCATATCAGATCAAGAATGGAGCAAATAGTACTGCCATGTCTAGGGTGGGGCTGTCCAGGCTTCAGTGCCCAGCCTCGGCAGTGTTCAAAAGCGAATACGTCGATGTGTGGGTGATAAATTATTTTATCCCACAGACGAAACGTTGCTAGCAATTATGGTTTCATCAACACTGATTCAATTCGAAACTTTACATTGGCACACCATACTTCTTCCACAGAATCAACGACAATTCATCTGTATTCTTAGGAACTGTCACTTTGCGGAACAGACCCCGTCGATAATGATTCTGTTAACCGTAAAATATTCACCTCTTCAAGTAAAGGATAAATCCTTATCTATCCTTGTAATATTCACTCGCTATAACCTACTTTTTCATTAATATCACACATCTCATTCATCATAACCATTTTGAGAGTAACGGTTTACCTTGAGTTACACTCGAGATTCGTATTGGTTGAATTTTATTGTAAAAATTATGTCGTTTTCCATATATGTATCCACTGTCATACGTGGCGTTTGAAGAGAGTAGGCACACGTTAAAAGGTTCATCTCTGATAAGACTGGCCAGCATTCATTGTCAAATAGGGGATGACATATGACATCACAGTTCAAAGCTTTTTACTTTTTTTGTAAGAACATTTTCGTATATTTTAATATTTTGTCCAGTTTCTGAAAGGCACTTTTGCGCTTGTCCTGTGAAGCTTCGGATGTGTTTGTCAAACTTTTTCTTTTCTTGAGATAATAAACTCAAGTTCAAATCTCAATGAAGGATTATTCTTTAATGCTGATTAAGGCGAGTTATTTAAAAATTATTTTATAACGATTTACTGTGTTATTCTGATATGTTGGCCTTATATATATATATATATATATATATATATATATATATATATATATATATATATATATATATATATATACTCAAGCCTTCAACAGTGTCTGCCAACCAGCAAAGACACAGCGTCCGTGATTCTACACATAAAATGGTAATCTTCAGCTGACTACAAACATGAACACTAAATATTCTATATTTAACAATACTCTAATGATGACAATAAGTTATGTCGAATGTTCTCGGAATAAATTGCAAAATGACTCAACACGATGTTTTCCTCTCGTCTTTTAACAACCACACAAAAAAAGCTTATTTGTGAATATGAAAAGATCTTATCGAAAATAAGTAAACAGAACGTGTCTTAATTATTTACCGGAAGCTGTCTGAATGAAAATATATAAACAAATGCACACACACACACACACACACACACACACACACACATATATATATATATATATATATATATATATATATATATATCTTATTCTTCAAGCATGAATTGAGTTCCCCAAGCCGTTTGAGTTCTCCGAGCTGGATTTCGATCCCGGCTTGAAGCAATCGGACGTTTAACCATACTGATGAGCTGTAATACAGTGAAATAGTCTGTCTGTGGATGACTAATGTCTAATATCGAGAATATTTAACATCGAAAAACATAAGAAAATTAATTCCTTTTAATAATATGTGGGAATATCCACTGATGAAGGTCGCGAGACAGGAAACCCGTGTAGCAAAATTATGGAAAAAAAAAAGGCATAATATTTTTAAAAAAAAAACACATTACAACCAGAAACGTTTGCGGTTTCTCTTTTCTTTTTATTATAGACATTTTTTCTCTCGTTGAAACGACTATAACCTCTTCCGTTTATATATATATATATATATATATATATATATATATATATATATATATATATATATATATATATATATATATATATATATATATATATATATATATATATATATATATATAAGATACAACGCAATAAGCGTACACAAAAATATCATATAATCGGAGAAAACACAAAATGCATATTCCAAGCGCATTAGAATATATTTTTTAACAACGCCTTTACAGCCGAAATCCGAACGCTGCACTTCACTTTTATTCTTCTGTCATACTAACCGTTTCGTCACTCTGAGTTAATAAGACGATATTTTGAAACCGTCTTTCGCCGATATTTTGAAATCCTTTATTTTCCTTTGTTATACAACTGTCATATAGCGCCCAAACTATCTCCTCAAATGGATATTGCTTTATTTATTTTCTAGCCACCAAACAAAAGCTTCTTCGTTGTTTAATGTCCACATCATTTCCAAAATAAATTACAAATTTATGTCTTGCTTTCTTTGTTGTCTCGATAAAATTATGATAAATAAACCTAAAATGTCTTTGCATAAGACGTGAATTTGTCTAGCATGTTTGATATTGTATTAAAGTCAACAGAAAACTATCAGTTGCAATAGTCACTCAATCAAACCAACTTTCCCAACAAAAAGGCTCAATAGACATTGCGTGTGAAATCGAATCTATTTTCGAGTCAGCTGTGAGATACAGGATCGTTGTCAAGTAAGATGTTAAATTGCAAATGTTCATATTGTCTTCGTCCACAAAAAAAAAAAAAAATTGAATCCAGTTTTCGACTTAGATTAAGTGAAGATATTACGTTTTTCGCTGCCTCAATAAATATTAAACCCTAATCAATTCAAAAGTAAGACTGAAGTTTGAAATATCTGAAATTCTGATATTTTAAGACAAAAATACAGTGTTAGGTTTCAGGGTTCGGGAGATATGGGTAAGTTATGTCACGGTCTATTAAATGAATGACGGTTAATCAGGCATGACGATACCTCTTCGACGGACTGGATGCAGATTATCTGTTCTCTTCATCTCTAGGGATAATATTGGTCATTTCTTTACGCGGAAACATTCGGCATTCATTGACCGAGCAGCCAGTGTAACGCTTTTCTTCACTCCCTGACCAGCGGGCTGGCGTAAAATCATTGTACATGTTCTCCTTTTGTAGAAACTGGTAATATTAGCAGGTTCGTTATAGGAAAGCATTTGGTATTTAATGACCAAATGGTGTATGCTACTCGAGTTATGTATTTGCTTACTCCCAGACCATTGGCCGTTGCTCAAAGTGTAGTAACTGTTCTACTCTGTACGATAAACGTAACATTAGCATTTTCTTTATGCGGAAACCATCGGTATGCTTTTACCGAGCAACCAATGGCACTCGAGTTACGTTTTCTCCACTCCCAGGCAGTTGGGTGTTAACCAAAGGCTAGTATTCGTTTTTATCACTTATAATGCTAATTACAGCGGTTTCTTTACAGAGAAACATTTGATATGCATTAATGGAGCAGCCAATGCTAATCGAGTAACTCTTTTCTTCATTCCTTGGGTATCTGGACAACGTTTTGACCGCCATTAAACACATCGCCAACATGAAATTACTTTCTCCCAAATATCAGAACTTCCTCTCCATGTACCGTTTCCACTCAGGATATAGGCGATCATGGCGCTTCAATTCCCTATCCTTTGTAGCTTTTAATAAATTTTGACTTTTTCTTATTTCTCCCAAATCCTCTTCCGCGATTCCTTTTGTCTAGCTGTGTACGTCATGCGTTGTCTTTCTTAGCCCATGTTGCCTGCAATCTCTATTATGAGTATCAGATTTTTCAAGCCCTCTTTTCTCATTATGTATCCTAGAAATTTTAACTGTCACTTCCTGGTGTTATGTATAATTTTCATTCTTGTTTCCATTTTTTCAAGAACTTTCCTCGTTGCTTACATATTCGGTCCACAGTATCATCAGCATCTTTCTGCAGAACCATATTTCTGTTGCTTTAAGTCTCTTCTTCATCTATGAGGAATTTTTCCAGTATAGACTGCGACTGACAGGTATCACATAACAATTGAGTAGTTTTTTCTTAAAACACTTCTCAGATATTTACATTAGTCGGACTATTGTCCTCATCGTTGTTGCCATATTTATCACAACGTTTCGGCCAATGTACGCTCCGGAGCATCCAACGGCGAAACGTTGTGATAAATATGGCAACAAAGATGAAGACAATAGTCCGACTAATATAAATAGTGTTGATAATACTTCTCAGATATTTAAATTTTTGTAGTTCTTTGATTTTATCATTTCCGATTTGTAATTTGCATTTTGGGCTTATCCTTTTTGCTGACTACCATCCATTCTCTCTTCTTGCAGTTTATGTTTAATCCTTTCTTCTCGCTTTCCTTGGCTACCTTCTTCAGGAGTTTTTGGTAGTTTTCTTTACGTGTTTGCCTTCAACACTGTCTCATCTGCATTTCTTAAGTTTTTGTCAAGACTGTGGCCGCTGACAACTAAGAAAATATACACAAGAAATCACGCTTATAAAACTCAAAAATGCCAAATGAATTAGTCGAAAACGTTAAGGATAATAAATCCCTACGGACGTCATATATTTATCGGTACATTCCTTCCCTTCATTCCATCAGTTTAGACATTTGCATTTAAGAACCCCGCTAGAACGTATATAGAAAAATATTATACTCTCATGTTCATTTGTTAAGGAGGAAGTGGCATTTGGGCAGCTTCTTTCCAAGAAGAAATATTTTGTTTAACAGACTCCCTAAAGGATGTTTCCCGATTACTCTTAATCACTGTATAAGTTGAACCGCAGTTTACATATATATATATATATATATATATATATATATATATAGAGAGAGAGAGAGAGAGAGAGAGAGAGAGAAATGGGGAGAGAGAGAGAGAGAGAGAGGTAAAAGACAAGAGGAAAACTGTAATATTTGCCAACGTCTTTCGTCCAATGTGGGTTTTTTCAAAGCAAAAACGAAATGAATTTATTAAAACAAATTAACTATTAATAACAAAACAAATTGTTCTTATTGGAAGAATTTAGAAAACGCTATTATATTCATATTGTCAACTGAAAATTACGTCAATAATATCAGGTTTGTAAATATTGTTTTTATTGTTGTGTTGACGGAGCCAACTTTTCATATATATATATATATATATATATATATATATATATATATATATATATATATATATATATATCCTGTAACCCTTATGAGCGTAGGGGCACCATGTATACTGCATCCATTCTTAGGCCAGATAGCCTAACGGATCCCAGACCTCTCCAGGCCGGTTCTGAATTCAGAATTTTTCCTTCTTCTAGACGTGTTGCCACCCAGTGTTATAGAACCCATTCTGTGTGGCTATTTACCCATAGCTTGGAGAGGGAGAGGAGGATTCATACCTTTTCCAAAGGTGAATGTAATTGACCTGACTTGAATTCGAACTCGGCTCTCCGGTTTTTCAAACCTTGCCTGGCTCTTTGGTCTTGTATAATGTGACTTATACAAAGACCAAAGAGCCACTAAAGTTAGAGTGATACTGTGCGGTGCTGTCTAGTGTAAGAAGTGAAGTTTATAGTTGCTATGCAGGCAACATAAAAAAAAAGCTGTCCGAAATGAAATCATTTCATACTATAGGGATACGTAGGGAAATAGACTGATCTGCCCCTGTGTACGTGTATATCTCACGTGGCGGACCTCATTTGTAAGTGCCCTGTAGTGGGATTGCCAGTCGACCCAGTACTTTCTGAGCGACTGTTTGGTTGTACTCTCTTCCTACGGACGGGAGGAACCCGAAGGAGTCTCCTTCGGGGAGGTAAAAACCGTTTATACGGGTTCAATGGGCATATTTTTGGCCGAGCCCACGGGCTCGGAATGCCCACGTTAAAAAGGCCTTGTGCCACATGACACCCTCGTGGGGGGGTGACTGAATATCGTCGTGTAGTGGGATTGAGGATGTAGATCAGAAGTCATGCAATGGAAGTAACGATGTCTAAATTATTAATACTACAGTTATTTTTAATATTATTTTAATATTGAGCATATAATATAAAAATATTTACTGTTTCTTAAATCTTAAAAACATGCATATATTTCTTCATTCTTCCTACGTTAATTTTAGTGGATACGAGTGATTAAGATAGACGCCATCTTTTTCATTTTATGTTAAAAGAGTTTGTATTACGTCTATTGGCTTTGTCACTCGAGAAAGCTTATTAAGTGAATGTGCTTATCAACAGGCTACGAACCTACGCCCCCCACTGCCTTTGTAGCAGAAACGACCGTTCCATACGACGTGCTTTTAGCCCCAAAGCAAAACAACCAAACAAGGAATAATCTTTTTTTTTTAAAAGCGTTTCACCGCAAGCAAAGCGGGAAGCCACTAGCTCGCAAGGTGTTACAGAGAGTTGGAGCGAGAGCAAAGAGGAGTGATAGAGGAAAGGACGATGAGAAGGATAGGAGATAGATCAAGTCATCTGGAGACGTCGATTGACATTACATGCGTATAGTTGGAGATTATAGCTATCAGAGGAACAAGAAAAGGGGAGGGAGTTCCACAGGCGAGAAGTGCGAGACATGAAGCTATTGGAGTAGAAGAGACGGCTATATTTAACAGTTTCGACAGTGAAAGGGTGAGATTTAGATGCCAGCCTAGTTGAACGCTTAAATTCATGAAGTCTGGGAACCAGCAAAAGCAGCTCATCGGAGCAGTTACGGTGAAAGTATTTGTAAAAAAAGACTGAGGGAGGCGACAGTACGTCTGTGAGAGAGCGACTGCAGACGAGATGCCAGAGCAGGGCCAATTACATTGCATATCCGTCTCTTGATTTTATCAAGGACCTTGAGACAAACAGAAGGGGCTCCTGACCATATAGGGCAGCAATACTCCATGCAAGGGCGAATGGTTAATTTGTAGATTCGAAGGATCGACTCCGGCGAGAAAAATTTCCTGGCGTGGCACAGGGAGCCAACTTTCTTTGCGGTGGACAAAGATATTGACTCAATGAATTTGGTCAGCAGTTAATGTAAGACCGAGCAGACACAATGAGGTGTTCTCGTGGAGTTGAGCGTCAGACATTCTAATGAGGAGCAGGGATGGTTCTCTGTGGTGAGTAATAGAGAGCAGTTTTGAGGCATTAAATTCTTACCCCAGTCCACAACCGATTGGAGGTCCTTTTCGAGTTTTTTGTTAAGAAATGCAACCTTCTTCGTTTAAACTTTCTCTAGTGCACAGTCTCATAGTCAAACTATGATTTAAAAACTTAAAGCTTTTGGAGTAACTATATTCTTTTAATTTAAAAAAAATATGATAATTTATGATGGCGTTGAAAAGGAATATTTCTTTTACGAAAGATGAGCGTCCTGGGTATGACAATAAACTACATCCGACAACGAGGTTATTGATCGGAAGATTTTGAGGAGCGTTAAATCACTTCTTAATTGGTGTTTGCTCCCAGGTCTATCCATGCCTTGAGGTGGTAGTTCATGTTAACGTCTCAACTATGAGAAAGTCGTTAACCCCCGAAACTGAGGTCGAAATACTATGAAAGTAAAAACATATATTTTTATAGTAAAAATACCAGCAATACATTTTTGTCCTAAAAAATTACCAACAATATATTTGTGTACAATAAAAAATATTACCAGCAAAACATTAAAAAAAAAAAAAAAAAAAAATACCGTTGTGGAGTGATTTCACAGTGGAGGTACTAAGTCGGTCTTAAAATAGGTTCGACGTACAAAACGTTAGGAACTTGATATAATAGGTAATGACGCAGAGAAATCTATTTGTGGTCGCTGATACTTTAGTATCTGACTAACGGTCGTCCGGCATCGACTGACTGACCGAACCACTGAGCGACTCTCTCGTTACTCTTACTACTCCTACTTATTATAGGTGGGAGAGTCTATTAACTATAGAATAGGTGTGTTCCACTATAACAAATACATTTTTGTAAATGAAATTACTAACGCTCCCAAGAAAATTATATTTCGGATTTAAATGACCAGTAAGATGCTGTTATGTCGCTAAACAAATAAACAAACAAAAGGATATATGTGCAAAACCCAGGACTTAATTAAACATTTTTGGCTAGATCGAGCGTCGGCTTGCTACGCACGACAGCCCGTCGTATTAGCAGGCGCCGCTTGGACACAAGCTGCTCTCAGCTGACTGAGCCCAACTGGCAAAGTCAGATTCCGTGAAGGCAATGGCCACCAGTCGGGGTTGTGAATCCTGACTCTCCTCTGCCTCACCGCACGTCATTTCTGTCGCACAAAAGAACTGCCGTCAGGAGTGAAAGAAAAAAAATTAAGAATAGAATGAAAAAAAAAAAAAGAGATCGAACGAACAAAGTACTACTGATGAATGTAGATGGTCATCGACGAACGTATTAACCTTCCTGTGTCGGCCTTGTTCCTCCCTCCAGGAAGACGAATCGGGTAGGTCGAGTGCTTAGTCTTAGTAGATTGCTGTGTGGTGGCTGCTCTAAAAGTACGACACCTAGAGCCTAAAGTCAAGTGGTCTACAAGCGAACCTTGGTCTCACGCTCCACGGAAGTTTCGAAATAAGACTGTTGATGATGTCAGATCAAGACGTCCGTTCGCAGACGCCACCGCGTACGAAGCGACAACAGCAGCTGTCCCTAGCAACGACGGCGTCAACTATGGCAAGCTCCAGCGGAAAAAAAAAAAAAAAACGGCTTTCGTAATACCGTACCGGCACAGGTCGCGATTCTGGCTTAGTCTTTCAGCCTTTATATTGTGGAGGCACTGCTGCCCGTTCGAGCGAGCAAGCGAACCGTTGCTCCGATCCCACGATTCCTCTTGTACTGGACGAGATAGCCAGTGCGAGAAAAGAAATTATTAGATTATCAGGTTATATATGAAAAGCATTTTATATCCTTGTGGATATACTTTTAGAGTATCGTCTATATACCGTGTGGTAAAAAATCTTTGAAAAGACAACTTTCTCGAAAGACTAAAACGTCATTTATAAAAATTATCTAAGGTGAAAAAAATACATTGATTAGTAACAAATTACAACATTTTTATGATTTTCTATGTGGGTGGAAGGTGATTAGATAAGGAACAAATAAGAAACATTTATCAGCTTAACATGTTGCATATTTATAAAAGCTTTATCCGAGAAATAAAGTATGGAGAAAAAAGAAGAAAGAAATTCTAGTATTTTTGTCTTGTTTGCTTTACAATGGTTAATCACGTTTCACATGCATTCGACTTTTCAAACCAGCGTTCGTAGAATTTGTGTTGTTAGGAATTCAACGAGAAGCAACGCGTCCACCTAAAAGTTCAAGAAATTAACGGGTTTCAAGCCTACCTGAAAAACTGTACATATTGCTATATGTATGTCAGTCAGTTATGTGCCATGCATGATACACGCGTAGACGATCATGTATCTTTTGATACATGACTGACGAGGCAGATTTTTTCCCGCAGTAGGTTGCCATTTCTTTCTGCGGTAGACCAGATGCCATTCCAAGGCTATAGAACCCGGTCTGTTCTGTTATGTGCCTATAAGAGGCACGGTGGAATAATGCATAGCTACTCGGATTAAGGTATCTATTACATTTATTTACGTGTTAATACCATTGAGAAAGTTAGGAAACCTCTTCTTCTCCCCCAGCTATGGGTAAATAGCAGGAAATACTCGGTTGGATGGCAACTGATCTACCACAGAAAGAAATGGCAACCTACTGCGGGGAAAAAATCTGCCTCGTTAGACATGTATTGAAAGATACATGATTTCCTAAACGTGTAACACGCATGACACATAATTGGCTGACTATGTGTATGTAGGTGTATAATTGTCATGGGGTCCTCCCCTTTTCATATGAGTGAACTCTACCAGTGTTACTTGGAGTGCTGCCGTTAAATATCCAGAGTTAGACAGTCAGTGAGAGAGGATATACGGAGAGAGAGAGAGAGAGAGAGAGAGAGAGAGAGAGAGAATATACGATCGGAGGTAACCTCTTGTAGAAGTCAGTTACAAGCACGTAGACTCTAAGGAAGTCCTACTTCGAGACTGTATATATCTATCTGTATTTGCTACTAACCGCGTTCCTGGATTTACTAACAGTATTACTCTTTGTATGGTTGTGTAAATACATTTTATTTCTTATATTTAATTATTGCGTTTGTCATTCCTTGGAGACCGAATTCATCTTGGAATCCACAACAATAATAAGGTACATTCGTAAAAGAGTGTGACAAGTAGACATTATACTTGTAGGTTTTTCGCATGTTGATTTGGGATCGCTTTTACGTACTCACCGTTTGTTTATTTCTCTCTTCTTTTTTCTTTTTTTAAAGCATATCACCCCAAGCAAGGTGTGGGTGCCACTAGCACGCAAGGGGTTACATAGAGTGAAAATAAGAGTAAAGAGGAGTGTTTGAGGAAAGGATAAAGAAAAGGACAGGGATAAAGAGCAAAGCATCAGAAGATGCCGATTAACATTACATTTAAAGTCTTGAAGATTATCAGGTAAGCAAGTAAGAAGAAGAGAGTTCCACTGTCGGGAAGTGCGAGAGAAGAAGCTGTTGGAGTAGAAGAGGCGGTTATATTTAACTGTTTCGACATTAAAAGAGTGGGACCGAGATGCCAAATTAGTAGTATGCTTAAATTCATGCAGATGGGGCACCAGTGAAAATAGTTCGTCAGAGCAGATGCCCTGAAAATATTTGTAGAAAAGACAGAGGGAATCCACGTCACGTCTCTGAGAAAGTGACTGTAGTTGAGATGCCTGGTCAAGAACTATCACATTGCATATCCATCTTTGGATTTTGTCGAGAACCTCAAGATCAACAGCGGGGGCACCAGATCATCTATGGCAATAGTATTCAATGCAATGGTAGATTTGTATATTGGAAGAAAGTAGTCAGACAAGAAAAACTTTCTGGCGCGACACAGAGAACCAACTTTCCTTGCGGTAGATGAAGCTATTGATTCAATGTAGTTGCTCCTCCTCAGGTCAGGGGGGAAACTTGAAACCAAAAAGGAGAAGAGAGCCACTCCCATGTAGCTGAGCATCAGCGATCCTGACACGAAGTTTCTCTATGGTGTGTAAATGAGAGCAGTTTCGTTTTGGAGGCATTAAAGTTTACAAGCTATGTCCTGCCACAGTCAATCACAGATTGGAGGTCCTTTTCAAGACCAATGGCCAGGTAAACTTTGTCAGTAATGCCGGATTTACTGTTGAAACAGGAAGAAATAGTAGTGTCGTCTGCGAAGATGCCTGCTTGAAAACTGATGTGTATTAGATAAATATATATTAGGTTCTCTAGTCATAGAATCAGTAAAGATTGATGATGTGATATAATGTTTTCTTTTTAATAAAAGTGAAACATTTTAGAATGATAAACGTTTCCTATTTGTTCTTTCATCTTAATATTCTGTCGGACATCGGTCCATATTTGATTCCAACTCATGTGGGAGATAATTTTATTTTTATAACTTGAAAAACTTCACGATACCTTTCCTCCAATTTAATTCGTTGTAGAAATACGCAACATAAAAAACACGTGTATATATATATATATATATATATATATATATATATATATATATAATATAAAATTATATAAAAATCATCGTATGCTATATTTATGGGTATCAGTGGTCAATATCAGGATCGGGCGTGTGTAAACATAAAAGTGGACATTTAGATCAACACGAAAAGGCGACAGTCTGTTTCATATTTGAGCGAAATCTTCAGGTCATGAGGATTACATTGCCACTCAATAAGCCATTGATTTCATTTACAGACACAGACACAAACACAAACACACACACACACACACACACACATATATATATATATATATATATATATATATATATATATATATATATCAAATCTCATGTGCCGGTGTCAGGCTGTCGGTTTCCTGGAAACTGATTTGCTTGACCCTCATACGTCGAATCTCGACGGGAGAGTCGATTATTATATTATTATTATATATATATATATATATATATGTGTGTGTGTGTGTGTGTGTGTGTGTGTGTGTGTGTGTGTGTGTGTAGAATAGTGAAGTCAACATTCAGATGCGACAGGCTGTTTCATGCTGGACGCAATCGTCAGGCCCCGTGAAACAGCCCGTCTCCTCTGAGTGTTGACTTCAATCTTCACTTTTATGTTTATATTTACATACGCTCCATCTTTGATGTTGAGCACTTTATCCCATAAATTTATCACACCTGTATGTGTGTGTGTGTGTGTGTAGTGGAAACAAATATATAGGTAATTTTTAATACCCTTCAGAGTTTTTTCATACAATTTATATACTTTCCTCAATTTCAATTTCATTTATTTTATTATATTATCATTTCACAGGGGTGTTACAGTGAATGAAGGTGAAAAAGTAGACTGAGAATAGTGAAACTTGAGGAAAGAATAAAATATGAACGGGTTTCAAGTAGACAGAAAATGGCGATTGATATTATATTTAAATTTTTTGAAGATTGTAGCTATTAGGAAAGCTATAAACGGAAGAGAGATCTACAGGTGGGAAGTGCGAGAAAAGAAACGGTTGGGGTAGAAATGGTGGTTCAATTTAGCTATTTCAAACAATAAAGCATTTAGCTATTTCAGCAATAAACAGGTTGTAGCTTGAGTGGCAGTCTAGTAGCACGTTTAAATTCATGTAGTCTGAGCAGCAGGGAAAAAAGCTCACCATAGCAGTTGCGATGAAAATATTTATAGTATCTATCTATCTATCTATCTATCTATCTGTTTGTCTGTTCCTCATGATACATACATACATACATATATATATATATATATATATATATATATATATATATATATATATATATATATATATATATATATATATGTATTTCAACGTTATACCTATATCTGATTAGACACACCGGTTTCAAAATAATGTTTATTATATGTACTCTATTGGGCACTCAAGACAACTTAATAAAGAAAATGAACACGCACCTATCAGGGTGGACGTAGGGCGCCACAAGGCCATATTTTATCTATCTATCTATTTATCTATCTATCTATCTATATATATATATATATATATATATATATATATATATATATATATATATATATATATGTATGTATGTATCCATTAATTCTTCAAGAATATATATATTTTATTTACTTATCCGTCTTCATATATCTCTCCTTGTCTAAATCTCTCTCTTTCTCTGTCTCTCTCTGTCTACACACACACACGCGCGCACACACAGACATAGACACACACGTGTGTGTGTGTGTGTGTGTGTGTGTGTGTGTGTGTGTCTGTTTCTCTTTCTGCGCATGTTCACGTCTCTGATTAATGTTTCAGCGTCAAGACACCATCTGTCTTTACTTATCAAATCTATTCATCTCCACCAGAGTATGTTGACACCAACTCATCGTAAGCTCAAATTAATTGAACCATGAGAGCACATCTGAGCATATGAAAGAATGCAATCAATGTGCATAAAGACCTGATTCCAGCAGCAATTATATATATATATATATATATATATATATATATATATATATATATATATATATATCGGTATATATATAAGTAGAAATTGAGATATGAATAAAAATGTATCTGTAAAAAGACAATATTAATATAAATAAAAGAAAAACTGTTTTTTAGCAATGCGTTTCTTTACCAACGATGTTATTTCTATTTATAAATTAATGTTGCAAAATAAAATGTAGTTGCTATATGAATCCATCAGAGGACGAAATTTACTGGCAAAGAAATGTTTAATAGCCGTACTTTCAATGGCAACAGTTTCTTTTTTCTTATTTCTCGCTTGTGAAACCCATTTCTGGCTTCCTGATTGTAGAACTCACTCTTGACTTCTTGCTTTTGAAACTTTCTTCTGTTTTCTTGCTTTTGAAACTCTCTTCTGTCTTCTTGCTTCTGAAACTCTGCTTTGTCTTCTTGCTTCTGAAACTCTCTTCTGTCTTCTTTCTTTTGAAACTCTCTTCTGTCTTCTTTCTTGTGAACCTCTCTTCTGTCTTCTTTCTTTTGAAACTCTCTTCTGTCTTCTTTCTTGTGAAACTCTCTTCTGTCTTCTTTCTTTTGAAACTTTCTTCTGTCTTCTTTCTTTTGAAGCTCTCTTCTGTCTTCTTTCTTTTGAAACTTTATTCTGTCTTCTTTCTTTTGAAACTCTCTTCTGTCTTCTTTCTTGTGAACCTCTCTTCTGTCTTCTTTCTTGTGAAACTCTCTTCTGTCTTCTTTCTTTTGAAACTTTCTTCTGTCTTCTTTCTTTTGAAACTCTCTTCTGTCTTCTTTCTTTTGAAACTCTCTTCTGTCTTCTTTCTTTTGAAACTCTCTTCTGTCTTCTTTCTTTTGAAACTCTCTTCCGTCTTTTCGCTTGTGAAATTCACTTATGGCTTTCATGTCGAGTTTGATCGTCAAAACCTGTATTACATTATCAATCTTCTATCTTCTTAATATATGTTATTTTTCTCACTCCTTAAACATATTTTTTTCTCATGCTCTTTCACAATCAATAATCCTAGACTGGAGTGAAATGATTAAGGAATATATATTTCTTGAAAGCATTTTTTATCCGACATTATTAATTTAAACGTTATTTTTAGTGGGAACACTTGTCTGAATTACTATTCCTTTTTTATTATATGAAACAGTGAAATTACTAACTGACGTATACTGAGATGTCCTATTAAAGAAAAGTGCGCCTCAGACAGGAATTGACCTTGCATCCGTTCATTATTCCAGCGAAACCATTTCTAAACACAAAGTTTGCCTCTACCAATTCGGCAGTGAAGCAGGGCAGACGGTTTCAAATTAGAATTGATAAATCTATAGCTGCTAGAATCACGAAAGGATATTTTATCCGACATTATTGATTTATTTATTTATTTTTTCTTTTAAATCAGTACACCAAAGCAAGGCGATGATGCAACTAAAAAGCAAAGAGGGGCTACTGGGAGTGACAGAGAATGAGAAAACTTTAGAAGGAACCAGAACACCCAGTCGTAAAATGAAAATAAGGGATAAACCTCTATTTCTGTTTAAAAGATCTGGGTGTACTTTGAATAGCTGAATTATCTACTAAAATATAATTTGACTGTTTAATTTAACACTTTCAATGCTACTCATTTGCCCAGTGCTGCCCCCATCCGGTCAGCCATTTTTAAAGAAAATGTCAAGTTTCAACCTACATATTTTATTACACAGAAAACTGGCACCAGTGTATTTTAGAGCATTCCATTTTCATGGATATACCTGGGAATGATTTACCACATCAGTAATGGGTATACACATGATATCTTTTGAAGCATTGTCCTTTGTGGAGTGGGACTTCACACTTTTTGCAGAAGTACCTTGTTTCTGAGTGTTTTCCAGCTTTTTTGCCGACTCTGAATGGCTTGGAAGGGTTGGTGGAATTTCTACCAAGTCATGAGCTTTCATTCCACCAACCAGGCGATTGGCAGGATTAATTTTAGGTTCCCTTGGACATACGGTCACGGGCGCTGGGAGCATCCGCATGCTAGCCGCACTTTCGTCAGGAATATTTTCAAATTAGATACGAAACTACCATGACGTAGAGAAAAATCGAGACTGACTAATAATTTGCATGATAGAACAGTTAGAATTTCCCGTATTTTACGATTGATGGCGCAACGGGACACTCATATGCAAAAAACGTAGGTTTCCGTACTTAGCCAACTGGAGCAAGATAAGAAAAACGAAGATCTCCGTAGTTAGCAGCGGAAGTGTTAATAAAGACATGGAAGGGAACTCAAACACGTGTATCCACTAAAAATAACCCTTACAGTAATATATATATATATATATATATATATATATATATATATATACTAGTAGTAGAGCCCGGCGTTGCCCGGGGATGTAAAAGTAAGAGATAGATCAAGTATCGACCATCATAAAGACTGAAAAATAAAATTTACGAAGATTATTGTTTAAGGTTGACGGACACGCATATCTTAATTAGTTTTTTTTTCGAATTGGTCAAACCCAAACACAAACAAAAACATTGTTTTCAATCGTTATGAGTCTACCGATTGAATAGAATTTTATTATAAACAATGGTCTTGTAAATGGAATTTTTAAAGCATTCTGATGGAAAAATAAAGAAAAAAATGTGTGCAAGACAATAAGAAACACTACCTGCCAAAAAAAAAAGTGAAGTTTTGTTGATATCGGTTGAAAAATGTAGGAAATCCGATCCCATATATAAACGAACACACACACACAACAAACAAACAACCTGGGTTTTATAATAAGTATAACTCGATATAAGCTGCTCCCCCCCGTCGTGTTTTCAAATTGATTTCGTGCAAAAACAATTGTGTTTTTTCCAGTTTTTGGTGCTGTCAGAAACACCGCAAGATAATTTTACGTAGTCCTAGTAAGTTTTGTTGAAATCGGTTGAAAAATGTAGGAAATCCGATCCAATATATAAACGTACACACACACACACACACACACACACACACACAATCTGTGTTTTATAATAAGTAAGATGACAAAGTTGAAAAAGTTTTAGATTTCCCTAAATCGAGTGCTAGTAAAGAAACTGTTGGAGCAAATGTAGTGGTTGCATTTAGCTATTTAAACAGGTGGGGCGTAGACGGCAATCTTGTAGCCCGCTTAAAATCATGTCATCAGATCAACGGGGAAAAAAGCTCATCAACGCAGTTGCCATGAAAATATTTGCAGAAAAGGCAGAGGGAAGCCGTGTCACATAGGTGAGAAAGCGACTGAAGTCGAAATTCCAAGCCAGGATCGATTACATTACAGGTCCTTCTTTGGATTTAGTAAATTACCCCGAGATGAATAGCAAGAACACCAGACCAGATATGACAGCAGTATTTAATGCACAGATCAATCGTAGATATGTAAACATGCAAGATAGACTCTGACGAGAAAAAAACTTTTGGCACAACACAGTGGACCAACTTGCCTTGCAGTAGATGCAGCATTTGATTTAATGTAGTCTCCCCACCACCACAAGTGAGTAAAACGTGAGGCTACTTATACGATATCGAACGATGCTGTCTCGCCTGTAATTTGAACCCGGTACTTTCCACGCATTCGTATCGAAATACTTAATAAAGGAAATTCAAATCTGACGCATAACACTGAAAAGTCGAGTCATGTTTTTGGCATTCGAGTCCAACTGAAGCGAATCGACAATAGCCAAGTTCTTAAAAATTTCCGATATAAGGTCGTGAAGAATCAAAAGACTTTTAGCGTGAACTTGTCATTTTGGGCACAAAGATATAACATTCCGTGCTCTCGAATGCCGTCTGGCCGGCAGAATTCATCCAGAAAGTTCAAGACATTTTCAACTACGTTTCAGAGTTGCCAATGGGTTTAATCGCCAAGCAGCTGAAGATGCTGAAATCCACGACCAGACAAGGAGATCAGGTTCAGGTAGAAAGTTATTAACAGAGGGCAGTTAAAGTTTGAGAAGACCCGGGAGACGACGCTTGTAATATGATTACTTCCCCGAGGAACGCGAGATGATTTGCTTCTTCTCTGATAAGATCTTCGACGAAAATTAGATGGTGAACAGTAAGAATTGCTGATGGCTCTGCACAGACTCCACAGAAGTACCCTCTGTGGTACACACTCCGTTCTCGGTGTCTCTTATTGGGCCTGGTGGGGTAAGCAACTAAGAGCTCTGTCGCTCCAATTCTTTACGTAGGGCCGCATTGCCAGTGCCACAGACATCAAGGCCAAAAGAAGAGCATAAAATCTAAAACCGAAAATTAGAAAATATACTACAAAACAAATTGTGAAAATGCACGAACTTATAAAAATTTAAAGAAATATAAACACAAAAGTTATCATTTCTTCGTCTTTTATGTGCCGTATCCGTTTAGGATATAGGCGATCATAGCCCTCCACATCTTCCTGCCCCTTGTAGTTTTTAATAAATTTTGTCTTTTTGTTATTTTTCACAAACCCTGTTCTACCATGCATTTACTCAAACTCAGAAAGTATGTTACCAGTTGTTTTTTTCTGTTCCTCTTTCCATCAATTTTTCCCGTGAGTATCAGATTTTCCAAGCTCTCCTTCCTCACTACGTGCTTCATAAACATTACTGCCTCTCCCTGATGTTAAGAACAAGTTTCTTCCATTATCCACAAAACCACGTCGTTGCTCACATGTTTGGTCCATGGTATCGACAGCATCTTTTTGTAGAACCACATTTCTTTTGCTTCAAGTCTATTCATCATCTTTGGGGGGAATGGCCCAGAATTCTCTGCTTTACAGGAGGACACATAGCTCGTAACAGTTCAGTACACTTTTCTTTCTTTCTAACAATAAACTCAGTGCAGGAATCATTGGTTTGGCCACAATTTCCCCTTACGGAATGTCATTTTATTTAACAGAGGGAGAAAGAAAAATGTTAATGACTTCAAGCAATAAAATATAGAAAGTACACTAATTGCGGGATCTTCTATGGCAAATTTATTCCGTACAACATATGTCCTTTCCACACAAAACCATTGCTGATACAATGTCGTATAATTAAAACAATTAATTAATAGCAATAGACATAAAAGTAGCAGATAAAAGTAATAAAAGAATTGTTTAAATGTTCTGGTTACCTAAAGTTTTCGATGTAAAATCGTTGGCGTTTTTTAATATTTCTCATACGATACATATATATATATATATATATATATATATATATATATATATACAAAGAGAGAGGGAGAGAGAGAGAGAGATAGAGAATCATCCACAGACAGACTGTTTCGCTGTATGACAGCTCTTCAGTGTGGTTAGACGTCCGATTGCTTCAAGCTGGGATCGAAACACCACCGATTTGTCGTCATCAGAGATCGCTGGCTATCGTCGTACGATGCATGCCTACTATCTATCTATCTATCTATATATATATATATATATATATATATAGTATAGTACGACGATATATATATATATATATATATATATATATATATATATATATATATATATATATATAGAGAGAGAGAGAGAGAGAGAGAGAGAGAGAGAGAGAGAGAGCGCGATGGATAAATTGTCGCCATTTTATATTTTTAATTTCACGAATGCGCAATTTATTTGTTTCTTTTTATTTTGTCTACTGAACAGTATAACAGAGTCAGTTGAAAACTGTCTGTGAGAAAAAGACTACAATGTCTCAATTCACTCCTCCAGAAATTTGGAAATATCATGCATTACTGTTTGGTATTCGAACCGGGAGCTACAATAGGGATATTTCAAAAGTTTTAGCTGTCAATCTGAGGACATTGCAGAAGATTCGGAAGGAGTTGAATGAGTCTAAAACTGATTACAAAGTCACAGCAGCTCAGAAAACTCACTCTGATCGTGCTGATAATAATAATAATAATAATAATAATAATAATAATAAACTACCGAGTT